GACTTTTTTGCACTCACTTAAAACTATCACTGCTCATTCTTACTGTAGTTATCATCTGTCCTGTTTTCTTTATAAAAAAATATACATGTAATCTTTGTGAAAAACAGCAGGCAATGACAATATTTAAGTTCTAAAACACCATAAAGTTATGGATGTAATCTCCCAACTGGAGATATGACACCAACCAGCCTGCACAGGGGAAACCCAATCGAATCTCTCCACATGTACTGTGTGTCCCTGCCTTAAGCAACTAAGCGAGTCCCTTTGCTTTGGTTTCACGCTGAGCTGTTTCTAGCAAAGCTTTTCACACGCCTGCAAGATGTCCTGGTGCATTTTGTGCTGCTGACAGTTTGCTGATTCTTAACTTCTTCTGTTATCTGAACAAAAGGAATCCAGTGTAGAACAAGTATTTTAAATGTTAATCTTATTCAGGACAAAATTCATTTGAACCCATTCTGCACAAGCACACTTCCAGTACAGACACACTATATGAAGGTAAAAGTCACTAAAACACACATTGAAGTGGGGCAGTGTGCTCCATTCGTCTCAAAGTGTGGAGAGTTAAACGATACACACTGCAGGCTAATTGATTTCTGTGCTCCTCCAAAGTGAACTTCATGCACAACACTCTGGCATTCTCCGTCTTCTTCCCTCTTTTTTGCCTTCCCTCTGGTCGCGTGCGTTTTCAGGTTTGAAATCAATTTGGCTGAGATGAAAGTTTTCAATTTCATTAGCTTGATCAAATGGAGCGCTGTTAACAGGCGGCGGTAATAGAAAATCATTTAAGGCCGAGCAGCTCACACACTCTCAGAGGACTGGTTAAGAGCTGCTCAGAGAGGAAGAGGAAGAGAGATAGAGGGGTGGAGAGAGGCTAAAGCAGGGGGAGAGGAGAGAAAAAGAGGATGACAGGTGGGAAAATATCGATGGAGGACAGAGAAAAAGAGACAATATGTAAAAAGGATGAGAAGAAAGGAGAGGAAGATCAGACGAGGAGATGACAAGGAGAGAAAAATTGCACTTTGGGAAAATTTGGATCACGGTGGCAGCAGATATAATGATGGAGTGAGACAGGTAGGAGGTACAGAGGTGTAATACAGACAGGAAAGAGAGGAAGTAAAGGAAAAATGTGAGAAAGTGGGACTGAAAGGAGAAGCATAGGTGGAGATAGGGACAAAGAAAAAGCAGATGAAATGTAAGAATGATGAATGATAGAAAGAATGATGAAACGAGTAAAAAGTGTCCCAATGAATGCTGAGAAAGGAGGAAAAAAAACGGGATGCAACGAATAAAGGGAAAAAAGCAAAGGCGACAGATGAATTTGTCTCTTCCTCTGGTGTGTCTGCTAAGCTCTGGCCCATTAAACTCCTGTTATTGCTTCTCAGATGTTTGTCAGAGAAAAATAACATAGCGATGAAAGAACATAAATAAACTATTAGCCATCAAATAGCTTATCTAGGCAGGAGATCGTCTGCTAAATACACACTTTGATGAGGAAAACAAATAGCAATTCAGTTGTAGACAATGCACAAGGGATGAAGATACATTTGGAACTAGAAAATGCAATTTCTGAAGAAATTGCGAGTGGGATTGCTTCAGTTGAAATTGCTATCGCTACGCTGCTATTGCGAATGGCTGAATTTTGAAATTAAGTCAAGATAAGAAGGTATGAATTATCAGGAAGGTTTGAATCAATTTGAATGAACTGAATGACATAATTGAATAATGCATGAATAATAAAAATTTTCAATGTGTGGAAAATTGAAATGTTAAAAAATCCTGAAGTATAAAAATGGTTTGAAGAATCAGAAAGTTTGAATCAGTTCGAATGAGTTTGAATTTGTTTGAAGAAGGGAATGATGTATGAACAATAAAAAACTATCTAAAACAGGGAAAAGGAATATAATTGAAAATCTTAAAGGGTTGGAAAGGTTTGAAGTATCACAAAGGTCTGAATTTGTTTGGATGAATTTAAATTTTTTGAAGAATTGAATAATGCATGAATGGCCATGAGGTCTGACATCCTTTCAGCCGCGAACGAGCGCCCTGTCCCAGCACTTTACATGGCGCTGTCCATGGTGCTGAAGGTGACAGCGGGTGAGCAGGTAAGTATCAGCAGGCCTCGGGTAAGTATTAAGTCAGTAATTAGTAAGTATTGAACACTTGTCATTTTTTGGAGCAGGTTGTGGCGTTTGCTTGTACTCCCCGTATTGCTCCTGCTTAGGCAGAACATGTACAGAGGTGCAGCACACACGTCTCCTCCCCTGCTTCACCAGCCAGGTAGCACAGAAATTAATGGAGTGTATTGTTTACCTCCCTGTGCCTCAGTTACCAAGCTTTAGATTGCACCAATTTGTCTTTGTTGTGAAATAGTCTGTCTCGTACAGCACCAGACATATTGGCCTAAAATAGCCGACTGCCCCCCTTAAAAAATTTATTATTTTGTGTGTTATCATTGAACTTAAAGTCTTCACCGAAACATATAAAACCTATTGTAATTCAAATTCAGCTATGCAATTATTTCCCGACAACTGTACAGACTTTTCTGGTTAACTATTTAATCCTGCTTTGCAAAATGGTCACCTGGTTAAAAACTGCAGCACCAGCAAATTATTCCTGTTTCCTCAACAGAGCTGTTCTGCTCTGGACACCTGGTTTCTGTTTCTTAACACATGGTCATATGTTAAGATATTCATATTGTGTGAGAAAACTGGTAATGTTTATGTCAATTTACCTGAGCCTTGGGATTGTATTCAGGCCAGAGGCATTTTGAAAAACAAAATGCCATTGTTGAGACTTGAGTCAGTTTATGACATGAAAATGGAAACAAGCAACAACAGAATCTATATCGTATAACATTTTTTAATAACTGATTTAAATATTTTCACATAAGTAACATTTGAAAAGACACTGAACAAATTAGAAAACATTGAAACTGATTGGCATTTCATTGGCATTTTGGTCAGCCAATCTGGATAAATCAATAGCATTTTAGATTTTGAACAAATCAAAAACAAATCAAAAACCACTGAACCGATCAAAAACATTAAAACTGATTGAAGTGATTTTTTTTTAACACTGAACAAATTGATAAACATTCAAACTGATTGAAGTGATTTTTTTGAGCAATGAACAAATAAATAAACATTCAAAATGATGGAAACGATTTTTTTTAACACTGAACAAATTAAACATTTAAACTGATTTAAGAGATTTTTGTGGGTAAATTATGTGATTGAAGAACAACTATTTACAAAGAGATTAAATAAATACACCTATAAAATTTCTACCACATCTCCCTCCTCAAAAACAATGACAATGCTCGCTGGCATTTTTTCAATGGCATCAGGGAATTTTTCGTCCCACATCCAGCGTGGGACAATCCACTCGACGAAGTTGTCGTCGAGGATCTCAACAGTCTCATCTTTCTCGCTGAAGGAGAAACCCGTCACGGCAATGTGGACGTGTTTGCTCACCATCTGTTGAGGAGAAATATTTTACACAGTGCACACCACCATTTTTGGTCCAGAGTACAGGTTCACTTTTTCTTCTCAGAGTTCTGATTCTTGTTTTCCGCAGTGACACAACCATTGTCCAAACAAATGAAGAAATAACTACATCACCTCCTCAGGGGGAGGAGAAAAGTTGAAAAAAAAAATTCAGGAATCAATTTTGCAGGCTCATTTTTGCCAATGAAACAAATTCTAATGCCCAAGCAGTTGGTGGTGGTGATGGGGGACAGGTGGATGACATAGAACAATCTGATCTGATTAGAAGCAAAAGACTCATCATAAAGGAGACAACAGTTCAGTGAATTACACAGTATGTACATCTTTGACTTACTTCAACATCTGTGAAATTTGTGGTGTGCAAGGAGAACCCATATTGCCCAGAGGTCCTGACTTTGAGGTGTGTGACTCGGCATGGTTTCCCCAGGCACAGTTCTGCCAGTATGGTCTCTCGCCAGAGGCACACTTTTACCTCTGCCTCCTTCTGTAATGATGAAACAGGCCTCATAAGAATCGCATTTACTCTCGTTGCCTAAATCTTCATTCTGCTTATATTTTACTGTCAGTTTTGTATTTAGACTTATTCTTTACCTCTTTGATCTTGATCTCAATCAGGGGGACGGGTGGGCCTCGCTGGCCAGTAACCTTCGTGACTTTGTTGAGCTGAACACAAAGATACACACATTTTAATACATTCGGATATAGTGTGCTACAAGTCATTGGTTTTAGAAGCCTTTTTAATCGAGGAGACCAGGCGACATTAACTATACAAAAACAGATCTCTGGATAGGACAGACCCCAGAGAGGTTTTGATACCCTTAACTGATTATTAATGTACTGTTGTGTACAGCATTAAAGAGGGGGTGTCATGCATTTTGACAGACTCTGAACTCCTTCTCTGATACCTCTTGTATAGCTTTACATAATTTTCAGATCAAAATAGGCCTCAAATTTCTCACAGTGGTGTATTAACATATCAAACATATCATTGTACTTCTGAATTTTAGTAAATCTCGCACATACACCACAATCTTGCATATTCACTTGTCTGAGATTTGAGCTGTTAACGTCTTTTTTCTGAGAGTATGACAACACACGTTGACATTGTGATTTGAAACTTTGCATACAGAAAGTATTTGCACCAAACTTTGTAACTGTGCAGTTTTGAAAAGCATGATACACCCCCCCCCCCCCCCCCCCCAAAGGGTCACCATATCATCAGCAGTGTTAATAAGATGCTTACTTCTGTGATACAGCCTTCAACAGTTATGAGAGTGTCAGTCTCTCCTTCAATTTCATTGAGGTGTTTGAATGTGGATGGAGGGCACACCATGCATTTCCCTTCCTCCACAAGGTGGGCCGGGACATCAATTGGGGAGGTGTGATACACCGCAGTATCACGGCGGGACAACATACTGCGCGTCGCGCCATACTTTGACATGCCATAATTTTTAATGATGTAGCTCCCTCCCTCCTTGATTTTGGCTGCTATGTCCTCATATGCGGTGAATTTCACCACTGTAACACCATCAGTGATGGCAGCAGTGCAGTTGACATGCTTGACGAGAGGGTGAGCCTCCCCCTTGTCAAATAACCAGGTTGGCACTGAGGTCTTTTTGTGCAGGGCAACCACTTTCACTTTGAGCGGTGGGAAACTTTGGTGAGTTGGTGTGTCCTTGGAAAAAATTTTATGCAGAGACATCCTGAAAAAAAGAGAAAAACTGTGTCAATGGCCATCCAAATGCTCATTAGACATGTACAAGTAACTTGAATCAGAAATCACATTTAAATACATTTTTCCTGTTAAACTGAGCAGGGCTGAAGAATTGTACCCAGAAGAAATAATACAGACTGTAGTTACTATCCCCGATCAATAGCTGGCGGTAGTGCGGCGGCAAGCTATTTGCTGAGCGCAAATAGCAGCGGAAGAAAGTAAAGATACAAACATCCGGTCCAGGAGGAGTACACGCAAGCATGGCGGCCGGGGCCGGTGTTTTGTGAAACTCCGTGAGAGGATATATTTACAAACTATTCTAATGCGGGGACAGAGTTAAAACGTTCAGATGATTGCACGCTGCAGCTAACGATCGAATAACATAGGCCTCTTACAGAGTGTGAACCGACTGGTGTTAACGTAGTTTTGTACTAGACCCGTTGCTGCTAGTAGCATAACCGTTATCTGCTAACTTTAGCATTATCTATAGATACAGAATCGCATTAGCTGTAGATATCGTTTCATAACGTTATTGTGGTAACGCAGTTGACCACAATAACATTATTGATGCAGATATAATTGTAACGGTATTCATAATAGTTATTGTGCTCACGCTGTTGACTTAGGCGGTGAGACCCACGGAGGGTCTATAATGTAAGGTTAATTGAAACACCCTTACACCCTCAACGGCCATAAGCGGTCGGCCGTTGAGGGTCTCTCGCGGCCGGCCGTTGTCATCTATACAGGCCGCAGTTTTAACACCCGTAAGTCATTACAGTTACTCAATATTCCGTTAAATTGAATGTGACAGATGCATTCAGAGATGAAGATTCGCTATTATGGTCAAAATAAAATGAATTGTAACCTGGAAGTAAGACGCCATGAAACACTAATGGTTTTTAACTTTAATTCATGTTTACTTTAGTTGAAGCTACTGTTAAGTAGTTTAGACTTGCTGTAGTGAACGAAGTGACCGTTATCAGCCAACGGACATATCGGTTAACATTTAGGTAATTGAATCTGTAAGCATCGTTACTAGCAATTGTATGAAAAACAATAAAAAGTACAGAAAAAAATGAGATAACGTTGGGCCAAATGCCTCTATGTCATTATCTGGCATTTGATAGTTCGGACAGCGCTTCTGAAGTAGCTACAAGTCAGCGGCTACAAGTCAGCTGTACATTTGCGTTATGGCCCGGATTTCCCCACACCAACATTGACATAGCGAAAACAAGACGGAGTTATATGAAGGAATTCGTGACAGAAACTGCTCAAAAATGTTAAATACCGGCGAGAAGTAGGTTACTCACCTGGCAGGTACGTAGTACTCTCAAAATAACCGAGTCTAGCAGTTGTTTCTCCGCTTCAAGTGGCTGGACGACCGCTGGACAACCGCTGGACTACCGCTGGACAACCTCAACGGCTGGCCTCGAGAGATCCTCAACGGCCGGCCGCGAGAGATCCTCAACGGCCGGCCGCGAGAGACCCTCAACGGCCGGCCGCGAGAGACCCCGGCCGTTGCGGGTCTCTCGCGGACGGCCGTTGAGGATCTCTCGCGGCCGGCCGTTGTCATCTATACAGGCCGCAGTTTTAACACCCGTAAGTCATTACAGTTACTCAATATTCCGTTAAATTGAATGTGACAGATGCATTCAGAGGTGAAGATTCGCTATTATGGTCAAAATAAAATGAATTGTAACCTGGAAGTGAGACGCCATGAAACACTAATGGTTTTTAACTTTAATTCATGTTTACTTTAGTACAGTCATCCACATTATTAAATTCATGACACCCACCATCAGTCTTTATGGCAGGTGCTGCTTAGAGAGAGTCATATTTTCCGTCCTGGTCAATATGACCCCTCTCAAAGCAGCACCTGCCATAAGAATCAGGTAAGTATGTTATTTATGGTACACACTTGAGCTGCATGACTGTTCAATTTAAATGTCTACAGCGATGTGTTTAGAGTGTTTCTCTGTTTATTGGTCTCTCCTTTGATGTCCTGAAACCTGACAATTTGGGTGGGCTGGGCACACCTTGAATTTATCTCCTCCTCAAGACAAGCTAGGGCATGGACAGGGGAGGTGTGATACATTGTGGTGTTGTGTTGAGACAACATTGACCACCTCCTATCAAACTTTTACATGCCACAATTTTTGTTTTATGTAGCTACATCCTTCTGTTGCTTTGTGTGCCAGGTTACTTATTTCCTATTCCTGTGAACTAAATTCATATTCTTCCAATATTGTTTTCCGATTCTCATCTTTCATCCCGTTAATATCCAGCAACATTCCTGCAACATGCCACTGAGCCTCTCAAGGCCTAAGCCTCAAGTCCGAGAAGGAGGTGCTGTTCTGAGGAGCAAAACAACTTGCATCTCCTCACCTTCTGAACACTGAACGGGTGAGTGTCCTTCTCCAGTCATCACACCAATTGTTTATATTTTGCTTTTGGTTAGCTGTGTCACCATTGTCACACCCCTGTCATCTCTCCCCTCTTCAGATCCAGCTCAGTGTGAGCCAAAGAACCAAGCGTTGGGAAAAGAGCAGGCATGTGAGCCCCGCCGTCATTGTGTGTATAAATGTATGTGTGTCTGTGTGTTTCAATGTAACATTACAGATAGATGGATAGATAGATATACTTTATTGATCCCAAACTGGGAAATTTTTTTAACAGAGAATTACTGGGTGTAATTTCAGAAAGAATTGTTCTTGCTGAATTTACTGTCACACTGATGAAGCTTCAGCTTGAGTTCAATCAGGAACACCGTAATCGCTGTCACAGATGCTCAAGTGTCTTTTCCACTCACACACCTACTCACTTTTCCTGTTGTCATCACTCAGAGTAGTCATTGGCAAATCAACCATTCACCACTGTCTTTCCTTATCCAATAGCATGGTAGCACACCCTCACAGTCAGCCTATCCCTGTTGTGCACTCATTTTAAAAATGAATTTCCTCTTTGCCTCTAGTTCTTTCTTGCCGCTGGTTTGTGTGCAGCAACCTCCACCTCCCCATCTCCACCCGATCCCAGCAGAATCAGCAGCGCCATGATTCACCCATTCGTTTCCGGCAGCCATCAGCCACCACCACAAGCTTCAGGACTCCGTTGGGGGATTTTCTTGCCGCCACAATGGCCCAATGCCGCCATTGGGCCAGAACGTTAAAAACTGTCTGTCACAAGCATTATTCTAGTAATTGTCAAATAAAGTTTCTAATTTTAAATGTCTCTCCTGGTTGAAGTATTGGTTATGGCTGACTGTTGAAGAAATTTTGAAATATCAGAAAGTTCTCATAAATTTTCAGAAGTTGAAATCTGTGTGAAGGAACTAAATGAGGCATGGTATATGAGCAGTTGTCAGTTCTTGGCGCAGGTAAAGGCACCTGCTTATCCACTCCACTCCCCCAGCCTAGGCTTAACGTGAAGAGTGAACACAAAGACGGGTAGCAGCAGCACTGCACAGCAGCATCATGCATGTCTCCTCCCCTGCCCCATAGGTGGTGTAACATACAAAACAAAAAAACATAGCATTTCATACAATATTGTGATGACCATGTTTTTTGAGTAGACTACACGGTGAGAAATAAACCATTTGATTGACAAGTTAATGTCTGTAAAAAACAGACATTAACTTGTGTGCCTGTGCGTTGCATTGCAATGGGAAATTGTACTTCTCAACTCAGAACACACACACGTACGTACGTAAAGAAACGTCCCTCTTTCGAAATTCCGAGTGTCCTTGAACGCACCTCGACTACAAACGGCTGAACGTGACAGCCCCAAAGATGGTGTAACATACAGAAAAAAAACAGCATTTCATACAATATTGTAACGACCATGTTTATTTAGTAGACTACATGGTAAGAAATAAACCATTTGTTTGATTAATGAGCCAGGGGTACCGAGACATCGGTTAAAACAGACATTAACTTGTGTGCCTGTGCGTTGCATTGCAGTGGGAAATTGTATTTCTCAACTCAGAACATACACACGTACGTACGTAAATAAACGTCCCTCGTTCGAAATTCCGAGTGTCACTGAACGCACCTCGACTACAAACGGCCGAACGTGACAGCTGTTTAATTACTTCTGACTCCGGACTTTGAGGTAAGCGGCAGCACCTGAACCACTGTTCCTCCATAAAATCTTGAATTCACCGGTTTAGCACATCGGATCAGTGTTTGAACTCCCGTGATAAATCTCATTAAGTTTACACATTACAGAAAGCCTTAGCAGAGTCTGTTTGAAATTAATTTGACCTGTTTCATCCAAGCTAACTAACGAAAGTTAGCAACTGACAACGGTGGATGACTTTAACTGAAATAGTCTCAATGTCTCTTGTCCCTTAAATATTAAACCCTGTCTGTTTTACTCTCTGTGGGATGCTGAGGCATTATTGTGATATTGTTGTAATAAAAGGCAAAAAAAAAAAAAAAAGGGACAACATTTGCATTGTAACGGTTTTAACAGCAACCAGCGGTTAGCTAACGGCTAGCTAATTAGCGTCGATGCTCTGTGGCTCTGGTTGTACCAGCAACTAGCTGTCAGCTCTTAGCAAATTCTCATATTTCCATAACACGAAAATCTTAAAAAGGCGCAATTGCCTCCTTTGCTCTAATGCTTGTGTCTACATTATCTGTTGGCTAGTCACTTTAGCTTTTTATCAGCAATGGTGCCAACTCAGGCAAGTGACCTTGGTTAAGTGAAATGTCTATAACTGACATTAGCCAGCTCATGCTTGTATAGACCTTTTTATGAGCAGCCTTTTTGAGATGAAATAATCATTAAAACCACCTGTAGGTAATAATGTGACACAGTTACAGGGTCTTAATTAATACTAAAAATTGTAACACCTGTGTTCATTTTACACCAGACCACACAGAATGGATGCTGTGTGGTCTGATCTGTTTAAATTACTAGTAATGTGAGTTTTTGTTTGTTGTGTAGACTGTTCAGGTAAAATGTGTGATATTTTGTACAGTGTAGATGCACAAAAATTTTCCAGCCTTTTAGAGTGGGACACATACAGAAAGGATGACACTGACATGCTGTCTGCTCTTTTAGACGGAGAGAGGTTCCAGCGCTTGTTTGGTGAGTACCGGAAATTAAAACCTAAAGTAAAATTGAGAGCAGAGTTTATCACTTGTGTATGGCTGAATACTGTGTCACTCCCTGATATCCCAAAATGTTTTTCTAATGAGAGCCGAACATAAGAAACATAATGTTATACCCTTGTTATGTGTTTTATTTTGATCAAATCCACATATTTGCTCTAAAATTCTGATTCAGAGTAGAATCAAGTTGTGCTCATTTCACAGAATTGTCACGGCTGTGGTTAAAGTCTGACCTTTTCAATTAACGCTGTTTAAGGTTTTGTGTCCCAGATAAAATTGACGTAAAATTGTGTCCCAGACTTTAAAAGTTGTTCATTTTAGTATAAAATTCACAGTGTGTGTGTGTGTGTGTGTGTGAACGCTTCTTGCCCTAGGGCACATAAGGTCCCATAGCGTGCTCAGAAAGAGAAATTTTGGTACCAAAAAGATTTATTTTTGAGAGAGAACCAGGTGCTTTGTCAAACTTGTACTGCTGTAATGTCATAGCTTGACCTGAATGTTAATAAATTTTACTTTTTAACTTAACCAAGCACCACACCCTCTTTACCTTGAAAGAAGAGAGTTGATTGGTGAAATCATTTAAGCATGGGCTTAGGCTTCAAAAATTTCAATCTGGTCACATAGATGAACACAGCTAAATGTAGTAATTACTGTAAATCTCGTATGGTATAATTCTGCAAAAGGTAACGATGATTTTTCTCTTTTGTGGTCCTTGGTCTGCAGAAGAAGAGTACCAGTTTCCAGGTTCCAGTTTCCAGGTTCCAGTAGATCGTCCTGTTTGTCCCTCCCCTAACCCCCAACCCCTCTATCATCCGTCCTGCTCTGTCTGTTGTCTCTGCCTTCTTTCTCTCTCCCTAAGTTTCATCTCTCAGGTTGGTTGATACTCCCAACCTATTACAAACGCTTGGTTGATACTCCCAAGCACCCCTTGAACACGCCTGGTTGATTCTCCCAGGCACCCCTTCCACACGCTTGGTTGATTCTCCCAAGCAACACTTGCACAAGCTTGGTTGATTCTCCCAGGCACCCCTTCCACACGCTTGGTTGATTCTCCCAAGCACCTTTGAAAGAAATCTCTGTGTTCTCTGAAATCTGTGCCACCACAACTACCACTACCACTACCACTACCACTACTACCAGTACTGCTACCACTACTACTACTTACAGACTACGACCAATTACCTCCAGGAACAATGCCACGCAAAGGAAAGAGATCCAACGCCAAGAAGCTACACTGGCAGAAATTTCCTGAGTCCCGAGTACCTGATCAACGGGTGGTGAGTCCTCATCCTTACAACAGCGGACAGGTAAATACCCCTGATTTTTCTAATGCTAATGTCACACGTGTGTTGGCTTCCCGCAGTCAGGGGCATGATACATACGCTGATTCAAAGAACAGTCAATGCTCCTGCAACTGTGCTACTTTCCTGGCCTTTCTGCATGAGTTAGGACAACTCCACACTGCTGATCTTGATCTTGTTTTGGACAGAGGCCATGCAATGTATGCTCTAACTCTCGGTCAGTTGGATGTTGATGGTCAAAAAGTTGATAGATTCTTAAATATAGACGAACTTCCACCAATCGTTGTTGGTGACAGACAACAGCACATAATGACAAAGTGTCAGTCAATCAGTGGTGTCTTTACAGCTCCTACCTTGCTAAACAACAACCTTGCAGATGTACTTCAGTGCTTGTCCGCAGAGGTGAACTACGCATTGTTGATAATGAGTTCAATGTACATTGCTGTTTTCCGAGACCAACGCGGGCAGTATGGCTATTTTGACCCACACTCTCGACAGCCTGATGGCTTTCCTGCTGGCTTTGGTTTTGGCACAGCTGTCGTCTTTATTTTCACATATTTAAATGATCTGATCACAAAGCTTGTGACGTTATTCCGTGCAGTTGGCTCCGGTCCAAATTCTTATTTTGAGCTGACACCTGTGCTCTTTCAGACTGTGGATGAGCCCTCAGTGGAAGGAAATTTGCCACATGTTGAGTCTAATGCAGATGTTGTTCCAATAGAAGGGCAGCAAGAACCGCATGTCCAGTCTACCCCAGGCTAAATCTGAGATAAAAATACAATCTAACAGTCACACTCTGCCAAGAACGTCAAGACGTAATAAACAGGAGAGGAAGAAGTTGAAAAGAAGAGCTCAAAAGGGGAAGACAAAAGTTGCAATTGACAAAAATGAAAAACAGCGAGAACGATATGCCAAGGACAGATCATACCAGCAATGTAAAAGGTCTTATATGGCTAATCGGTACAGACAGGATCCAGAGTTAAAACAGAGGAAGAAGTCCTACATCAAACGTCGCTACGAAAATGACACAGAGTTCAAACAGAGACAAAGATCTTACATCAACCGCCGATACTCAGATGACTCAGAGTTTAAACAGAGACAAAGGTCTTACATCAAACGTCGCTACAAAAATGACACGCAGTTTAAACAGAGACAAAGGTCTTACATCAACCGCCGATACACGGATGATGCAGAGTTTAAACGGAGACAAAGGTCTTACATCAACCGCCGATACACGGATGATGCAGAGTTTAAACGGAGACAAAGGTCTTACATCAACCGCCGATACTCAGATGATGCAAAGTTTAAACAGAGACAAATGTTGTACATAACACACCGCTATTGCCAGGACTTGGCATTCAGAACTAAACAAAGGCAGTATATCACAAAGCGTTACGCAAATGATCCTGCATTCAGAATGAGGCACAAACAAACTATGAGACAGCTAATGAGAGACAAATACAGAAACAACCTTGTAACCAGACTGACCAACAGCATGCGGTGTGCAATTAAGATTAGACAAAAATACAGACATATTAATAGACAGCAAATCGACATGGATGACAGTCAGATTAAAGAAGCCATAGAGATTTTCAGATCACACGTAAAAGATGGACCCACATATGTCTGCACAGTTTGTCACAGGGCACTGTTTCCGAATCAAGTGCGACCCTGCAATCGGTCAAAATATGACAAAGAGCCACATGTTGTTGCAGCTTGCCTCACTGGTGCATATGTTCATGTCTGCAGTGATGAATGCGAAAATTTACAACAGTGCACCGTACCAGAGGAGCGAAAGAAAGAGTGGATTTGTTACACATGCCATGATCACCTTAAGGCTGGTGGGATGCCTCCCCTCGCAACGGCTAATAATTTACAGCTTGCTGATATTCCAGATGAACTGTGTGATTTGAACATTTTGGAACGTCATCTCGTAGCTAAAAGCATACCGTTTGCTAAAATTATTCCACTGCCCAAAGGTCAACAAAGAGCTATTCGTGGAAATGTTGTGTGTGTTCCATCTGAAGTACAGGAAACTGTAAATGCTTTGCCCAGACTAAGGAGTGAATCTCAGGTCCTGAGAGTGAAGCTGAAGAGACGACTGTGCTACAAAGGTCATCAGCTGTTCCAAACTGTGGCCTGGCCAAAGTTGGTGAGAGCTCTGCTCAAGCTGAAAGAAATCCATCCCCAGTATAAAGACATAACAGTCAGAGATGAAGCTGAGTTATGTGACCCTACTCTCCCTGATAATGAAGACAGCGACAGTGATGAGGATGACAGAATGGATGATGATGATTACGATGAGGAAGATTTGATGGAGATTGACCGTATTGAGAAAAATGCACTCTGTGAGGCAGAAAGCATTCCCGAAAACGATGAACAACAAATGGAAAATCGGTCAGGTAATAATGGCTGTGAGCCAGAGAAACAGTCTGATAGCTTGGAGGGTGATGAACCAAACGGTGGTGTTGTCCTTGAATCATGTCTGCAGCCAAGTGATGTGTCAGAGGATATTTTGAGTTTTAGTGAGGGAATATACTCTGTTGCCCCCGCTGAAGGAAAAAAACCGTCAAGCTTTTTCAGAACACCTAAACTTGAGGCGATGGCTTTCCCAGTTCAGTTTCCCACTGGTGAAAATACACTGGATGATAACAGGCCACTGAAATTAACACCCTGCAGTTACTTCAAAACGAGGCTTTGCTGTGTCGATGGCCGTTTCGCAAAAGATACTAACTACTTGTTTTTTGCTCAATTTGTGACAGAAATACATATGGCCACTTCCAGCATGAGAATACAACTGCGTAAAGGCAAACCTTTTACTCGAGATGGCCGCAAAATCACAAATGCCATGTTGCAAAACAAACGAGAAGTCGAAAGGCTAGTGCGGAACAAAGATGCAATAAGATTCATGACACCGCTGAGAGGCACCCCGGCGTATTGGCAGAAAACAACTAAAGACTTGTTTGCGATGATTCGGGCTTTAGGCTCGCCACAATTCTTCTTGACTTTCAGTGCCGCAGAAATGCGTTGGAAATGGGTTATCACAGCAATTAAAGCCCAGCAAGGTGAACACGTGAATTTTGAAGAGCTGGATTGGTCCTCCAAGTGTGAGATTTTGCGAAGTAATCCTGTCACCACAATGCGCATGTTTGACAAACGTGTCGAGGCACTGTTCAGAGATCTGATCCTGTCCCCCGCACAACCTATCGGCAAAGTCGTCGACTACTTTTACCGACTCGAGTTTCAGCACAGAGGAAGCCCGCACATTCACGGTATGGTATGGGTGGCAGGCGCACCTGTGTTTGAAGAATGCTCTGATGAGGAGGTGTGTAAGTTTGTGGCCAGATTCATCAAAGCTGAGCTGCCCGATGAAAACAAGGACCCAGAACTGTACAAAATAGTCACAGAAGTTCAGATGCACAGCAAAAACCACTCCAAGACATGTGTGAAATACAGTGGTGCAAACTGTCGTTTCGGATTTCCCAAACAACCTGTCCCAAAAACCACAATAATCAGACCGGGGGCAATTGTGGATGAAGCAACAGACCTGGCATTGACAGAAAAGCTTGCAACACTTAACAGACTTCTTCATGAACCTACTACTGCATCGCTCAGCTTTGAACAGCTTTTGGCAAAATGTGAGTTCACCAAAGAAGAATACCACAGGTGTTTGCAGAGCAAAACCAACGGCAGTCAAGTGATGCTGAAGCGTGGTCCCAAAGATGTTTGGGTAAATGGCTACAACCCTTACCTTCTGAAAGCCTGGAATGCCAACATGGATATCCAATTCATTCTCAACCCCTACTCCTGTATCATGTACATGTGCAGCTACATCAGCAAGGCGGAACATGGTCTGAGTGAATATCTCAAAACGGTGATACAAAACTCACGTCAGGAAGATGTCAACGAGAGCGATGAAATGAAACAAATAATGCAGGCCTACTCCAAAAAAAGAGAGGTAAGCGCTCAGGAGTGTGTGGCTCGTGCATGCAGTCTACACATGAAGCAGTGTTCACGCAGCGTGGTGTTTGTGCAGACGGATGACAACGCACTGAAAATGAGTTACCCCTTGTCACACCTGGACAACAAACCTTCAGAATCGGAACATGTGTGGATGACAGGGTTACCTGATAAGTATGTATGCAGACCAGAAACACCAGACTTTGAGGCAATGTGCTTGGCGGATTTTGCATCGAGCTGCAGAATAGTCTACGGCAAGCAGACAAAAGGCAAAAATACTCATCGCCTGCTGAATGAGATGGGGTTTGTCCAGAAGAGAGCAAATGATGAAAAACATGCTGTCATCAAATATCGACCCATTTCCCTTGAGAAAGATCCAGAGCTGTATTATGGCACATTGCTTAAACTGTACGTGCCTTATCGCTCAGAAAACCAGCTGAAATCCACCCACTTCCCAACTTACCAGTCCGTCCATGACCATGCAGCTGTTTGGTTACCTGGATCACAGCATCCCGAGCGCGTGAAGGCAATTGTGAAACGCAACAGAGAAAAACATGAGAAACACCGTGAGGACATTGACAGTGCCATTCAAGAGTTTGAAGAAAACGGGATGTTACGAAACGAATGGGGCAACCTGGCGCCTGAGAGTGAGATCGAACGGCTCGAGTGCATAGATGAACTCAATGAAAGAGAAGCAGATGAGGACGTGCAGGAGAATGTTCCAGACTATAATGTGAGGTCAGACGTGAGGCAAGAATCTGCAGTCACGATCGAAGCCCCTGAAATTGATCCTGTGGTGCTGCGTGAGATGTACCAGAACTTGAACCAAACGCAAGCTTCAGTTTTCCACACCATCCGGGAATGGTGCTTGAAATGTGTTTGTGGTTCAAAACCAGAGCAGTTCTTCTTGTACATTAATGGTGGTGCCGGAACAGGTAAGTCTCATCTAATCAAATGCATCCATGCAGAGGCATCTAAAATACTCAGAAGACTTCCAAGAAATGCAGAGGAAGCAGACATCTCTAAACCTACTGTTCTCTTGACTGCATTCACTGGTACTGCAGCATTCAACATTTCAGGTACAACATTGCATTGTCTCTTGAAGCTGCCCAGAAGTCTCAAGCCTCCTTTCCAAGGTCTTGGTAACAAACTTGATGAAGTCAGGGCAGAGCTTTCAAATGCAGAGATACTCATTATTGATGAAGTCTCCATGGTCTCCAAACAGCTCTTTGCCTACGTGGATGCGAGACTGAAACAAATCAAAGGAAGTCAGAGACCTTTTGGTGGAATGTCAGTTCTCACTGTTGGAGATTTCTACCAGCTACCACCTGTCAGACAGTCGAAACCTCTGTGTGTGTTCGACCCGACTCAGATCGACCTCTGGCGTGACAACTTTCAGATGGTCACACTGACCGAAATCATGCGTCAGAAAGATGATGTCACTTTTGCTGAGACGCTGAATCGAATCCGTGCCAAAGAAAAGACAGTGTCTTTGTCTCATGAAGACAGAGTTCTGCTTTCACGGGCCTTAGCTGACCCGGCTCAATGTCCAAAAGACGTACTGCATGTTTTTGCGACAAACAAACAGGTTGAGGAACACAACTCAAAAACCTTGGACATGTTTCACTCCGACGTCACCACAATAGATGCAGATGACTACAAAAAAGATCCAACCACCGGGAGAATGACGAGACAAAGTGTACCTTTCCAAGGAAACAAAAAGGAGTTGCCTGACTCGATAAAATTGGCCATCGGCGCTAATGTCATGATCACCAGAAATATAAGTGTGCAGTCAGGTCTCTGCAATGGAACATTTGCACGCATTGCAAAAATTGTGACTAAAGCAGGAAATCCGCATGTTGAAAAACTCGGACTGAAACTGAACAGTCAAAGTGCAGCAGCCAGCGAAGCAGATGTGGATGAAAACATCGTGTACATTGACAGAGACGAGGAGAACCTTAAACAGACGGGAGTTGTCAGAAGACAGTTTCCCATCAAGCTCGCTTTTGCGTGTACAATACACAAAGTTCAAGGGATGACAACTTCCTCGGTCGTGGTCTCACTGAAACACATCTTTGAACCCGGCATGGCCTACGTTGCTCTGAGCAGAGTGACCTCTCTGAGTGGACTCCACATTCTAGACATGGATGAGAGGAAAATCTATTGCAACCCTGAAATCACCGTAGCTCTTGAAAACATGTCTAAAGCTTCACTTGAACATGTCATGCCTCTCCTCAAGATCCCAGAAACATTGAGCAGGCCAGACACTCTCACTGTCATTCATCACAACACAGAAGGACTACCAGCTCATATCAGCGACATCAAAAGTCACCATGAACTACATCTTGCAGACGTGCTCTGTCTCACTGAAACTCATCTGCGAGGATCCTTTGTTGCTGAGAGTCTCCATCTTGAAGGCTACAACATGTTCAAACGTAACAGAAACGTGTCTTATTCAAACCATCCTGCCATGGCCACTAAAAACGGTGGTGGAGTTGCCATCTATGTGAAAGAACACATCAGAGTCCTTGAGAGACATTTCATTCAGAATGCCACTGATATTGAGTTCAGTGTCATCAAACTTGAAGCTCCTTTCAGGGCTCTAATTGCTGCCGTCTACAGGCCTCCTGACTACGATGTTCACTCATTCATATCCAACCTCAGAAGTCTCTTGGATTCACTGGAAGTCATGGATCATCATCCCATCTTAGTCTGTGGAGATTTTAATGAAGATTTGCTGTCCAGAGCAAGGAAGCCCATTCTTGAACTGTTCCAGTCCAAAGGTTATGAACAACTCATAACTGCTGCAACCACAGAGAAGAACACGCTGCTTGACCCCATTTTCATCTCTTGCCCGCAGTCCTGTATCCATTCTGGCGTGCTGCGGACATACTACAGTTACCACCACCCTGTCTACTGCGTGCTCACTTTAGAAACACCCTAAAAAGAACTGGCTGGTTTAAAATCGAGAACTTGTTGCAAAGTTAAGGAAAAAAAAAAATTATTGCGTCCATAACTGTCGGTTTACACGCTGCGATTTAAGAGAAGAGTTTTAATTATTGGTTTCCTATTCGATCACCTAACGAAACGTTGTAAACATAGTATATTTTAAAATGGGGGGGGTCGTCCTCAGCAGCCAGGCTGTAACACCTGCTCTGGCTGCTCTAGCTTTTAAAAGGCTGGGAGGGAGGGATGGTCAGACGGCCCTCCTATACCAAAGAAAAACATACCTGCAAATACTTTCTAGTCACTGTACAATGTGAGATTAAAGACAATATATGAAACTTTAATACATTTATGAAAAATACAGTGAAGTAAAATGATGCAAAGGTCAGTACATTATTAGTAGCATTTAAAAAAAAAAAAATTAAAATATACAGTGAGACAAATTAAAAACAAGCTAATTTAAAAGAAATAAAAACTGCCACTGAAACTATTATGAACTAATGAAATATTATAAACAAAGTATATTTTAAGATGAGGGGGTCGTCCTTAGCAGCCAGGTTGTAACACCTGCTCTGGCTGCTATAGCTTTTAAAAGGCTGGGAGGGAGGGATGGACCGACGACCCCCTCCTATACCAAATTATATAGAAATACATTTCTGCAAGTCGTTACTTTACGCTGTATTAGAGTTGCCCATTATGTCCTGCCATTTACTTTGAGTAGTGGCAGGAAGGTCTGAGGATGCATTACTGCTCCTCATTTCTCTTGAACGACTTGGTGTGGGCGTAAGGTAAGAACAATATTGATCTTTCATGTATACTAGCTGCAGGACTGCTCCATTTTAAATGTGAAAATACACGTTGTTTTACTGGATTTGTTTGTCTGAATCTCTCTGTTCATTTTTTTGGGTTTAGGCACCTGTGCCCTCCAGACACCAAAGATGTGGGGTGATGACACTAGAACTCCAGCTCTGTGCTCAGTGTGTCCCAAGGGCCTACCTTGGAGAGGGGAAGACACATTTCATCCTAAGAGAGCATCAGGTCAGCCTATGATTTTGATATCAAGACATTTGCACTCTGAGTTTGTTGCCTTTTACTGTTTGCGTTTGTTTCTGGTGGTCTAACAAAGGAGATAAGGATGAGCCTCTCTCAAAAGAACATCCATTGGTGAACCCTCTGTCTGACACTTGGTTGTATTCACACCTTCCTGGGCTGAGAAGTTCGTCACCAAGTCTTTCACAGCCGTGTAAATTTACGGGTAGGAGCTGCAGGTGCCACAGTGAGAAGAAACAATTCTACCTGTAAATTCCCTGAACATGTGCATGGTGAGTGACAGTACAGTTTATTCCTTTTAATCTAAGGCTGCCAATAATTTCTCAATGATGCTCCATGGCATTTTGAAGAAGTTCTTTTTGTCTGGTAGAGTGTCACAGTGGCAGCCCCACACTGGCAGAGCAGCGCCTGAGCAACAGTTCCAGAGTACTGCAGCTAGACAGCCCTGTCTATCAACTTGAGGAGGACCCACACACATTGTACGTTGACTTAAATGTTGCAGTGTCTGTTTTCTGGTGTATTTAAATCGATCTGTAAAATTTCATCTGGTTTCACAGTTTTTTCTCTCCTGTTCAGTGCTTCAGAGAGAGGTGAAGTTGGATGTGCTGTGCATGCGTCACCATCCTGACAAGGGGTGCCGCCATTGATCTTGAACGGGACTCAAGCATGTTGTGAGTCAACTGAACAGTTTATTGATCATGAAGAGTTTTGTGACATTTGCTAGAAAAGTTTAAAGGTATTGATAATAAACGTAAAGTTTTGTCTGCCAGTGCTGTACAGGAAACCAAACCCTCTCCGTGTGTGACCGATTAGCGGAGAGAACTTCTGATCCAGGATTGGACAAGTTGTTGCTCTCACAATGCTGGACCTGGGTATGTACTTGTCTTCAGCAGTCATATTATTTCTTTGTGTTCATCTGATGTGACAACCTTCTCTCCTCTCTGTACATCACAGAAGTCGACATGAGCTGAAGAACTAGAAAAGTCCTGAAGATCTTGTGACTGTGGCTTCTTAGAACCAAGCACTGAGTCTACAGCAGAGAAGGGTTCTGACCTGGGGAGCAACAGCTCTGAACTTCACCAAGTATGTTTCATCTTCAAAATCTTTGACTTTTCCACACTACAACCAGCTGTGTAGGATTTCAGTTTGTCGTCTGTAACACCGGTGTAAACTGTTGTCTTTTCCTCTCAACTCATCACAGAACCAGCTCGACATGAGCCACAGAGCCAAACCCAGCAACCATGTGATCTCTGTTGAGCTTAGAACTCTAAAATACTGCATGCTCAGCCGTCCTGGTAGGGGATCCCTCTAAGACCTGGCCTACCTAAAGGTTTCTTCCTCTTATCCTGAGAAAGCTTTTTTGGGGGAGTTTTTCCTGACATGCTTGGAGGGTCGAAAGGCTGACGGTGCCATATACCCCAGATTTTTTTTCTGATTCAATGTCAATAAAGAAAGTAAATGAAATTCTGGAGTTTTAATTTACTTATATGAAAGAATGAATGAATGAATGACACATGCTCACAATCACAACAATTTAAATGTGTGAAATATGAAAATTTGAATCTCTTTAAATGAATAGAAAATTGTATGAAGGAGCAGTATGAGGCATGAATGGTCAGAATGATTAAAATGGGGGAAATTAAAAGCTGAAGCCACTGCCAGATGGAAATTTAGTAGGTTTAGATAACAAGGCAAGTATGAATGTGATGAAACAGTTGATGTCAGAATTTCTGGTGAATAAGAAATAAATAGGAAGAATTATTTGACAATTTGAGGGTTCAAAACAATACTAAGAAATTTTAATCAGCCCGTGGTTCCGCACTGTTGTCCAGCTCTAAAAATACAAGCTGTCGTGTAGGAACAAGCCACAAAAACTTCACAGAGCAGGAAAAGGGTGAGAAGCAACTTCCCAGTCAGCTTTGTGTCTCCAGGTGCACTAATTGGTTGCCATGCTGAAGGTAAATACATCACTACAGCAGAAGAAAGAAGGCTTGAAAACAAAACAAGAAAGTGTAAAAAATTAAAATGATTAAAATCATGAAGTATGAAGGAGGTTTGAGGCATCAGGAAGGCTTTAATCATTTCGAATAAGTTGCATTTAGTTTGAAGAAGTGAATAATACATGAATAGTGAAAATGATATGAAACGGATAATTAAAATGATTAAAAATCTTGAAGTATCAGAAAGGTATGAATCAAATTGAATGAATTATTTTTTTTTTGAAGAATTGAATAACGCATGAATAATGAGAATGATTTGAAAGTAGGGAACATTTGAATAGATAAAAATCCTGAAAACGTCCCATAATGTCCTCAATGAGCAGAATTTTTTGAGCCATGGATGGTTTCTGTAGGTCAAAGTTTGTGGGAGGAGATAGGTGCTAAATTTTGCCAAAAAAACTCTACTGAAGGGTTTTAAATGTAACCCCCAAGTACTCTGTGTACTGAGCCTGGCTTCATGTGTCTCATATGGCTGTTAGAAGCAGCCTTCCAGCCAGCTATGTGTCTCCAGGTGCTCTTATTGGTTGCCATGGTGACAATAGATGCTTAACAACAGCAGGAGAAAGGAGGCTTGAGGCTGAGAACGTAATGCCCAAACAACGTCATATTTCTCATCCTCTGTAACTGCTGTCTTCATGATAAAGGTGCTTGTGAGAACCACAAGGTCCGGCTGAACACGTTGATACAACTTCTGTGTTTGTGGAGCCAAAAATGCCTTCACTACGACAAGTTAAAAACATGTCCAGTTTGTGTTTCCTCTGAAAATTGGAGTCAATGGAGAAAGCTGGAGAAATCTGGGGGATGTCTGTGGCAGTTGGTGTCTGCCCAGGCCACTGTGTGTGTCCTATGGCTTTGATTTTTTAGATGAAGAGTGACAGCGAGTTTTGCCATCACTGTACCAAATTTTATCTGTGTAGAGCGAAGTGAGTTGCCACAATCCTTTTGTAAAGACAAAGTTTTGAGGATCAATTTTCAGCCTGTCCCACTCTAGCTGTGAGGTCACCCACTCTAGCGGCCAACATTCCGTGCAATACACACTAATGTCAAAACCTGAAGAGGTCAGAAAATCCTGTGAATTTTTGAACTGTCACTGTGAGAAAAGTATGAATGCCATGAAGATGGTGAATGAATGAGTGAATGTCTGAAGATGTGTGAATATTTTAAAGTTTGAATGAAGTTTCTAGGTGAAAGTATGAATGAATGAGAAGAGGTTGAAGTTGACTATGTCTGAAAGCCTTTTCCCATTGAATCCCATTATAACGAAGTTTTAAACAAATCTTAATATTTTGAAAAGTACGAATGGGATTAAAAATGTTGAAGATGTGGAATAATGCTGAAGAATTTGTGAATATTTTGGTTTTTGAATGAAGTTTCTATGTGGAAGCATAGAGGAGTTGAAGGCTTTTGAAGTTGTGCGAAGAAAATGTGAGAAAAGGGCCAATTTGAACATTCCGTAATGCATTTCTAATGGGAGAAATCGGTCGGAAAACCTGGAATATCTCGGAAAGTATGAATGTTTGGAAATTTTTGAATACAAGCCGGAATCTCCTGAATGCGAGGAATCTTTTGAAGTTTGAATGGTTTGAATATGTTGAAGTATGTGGAAGGAGTAGCGGTCCAAAAAACGGTGGAAGAATAATAATAATAACTAGAAAATGCAATTTCTGAAGAAATTGCGAGTGGGATTGCTTCAGTTGAAATTGCTAGCGCTACGCTGCTATTGCGAATGGCTGAATTTTAAAATATGTGAAAGGTCAAAAAGTATGAAGTATCAGGAAGATTTGAATCAATTGGAATAAACTCAATTGAATGAATTGACTAAATCATTAATAAATTTTGAAAATTCAATGTGTGAAAGTTAAAATGATTAAAAACCCTGAAGCATGGGAAAGGCTTGAAGAGTCAATAAGGGTTGAATCAGTTCAAATGAGTTGGAATTTGTTTGAAAGAACTGAATAATGCATTAAGAGTAAAAAATGATTTAAAACTGGAAAATTAAAAGGTTACAAATCTGGAAGAAAAAGAGGTTTGAAGAATCAAAACGGTTTAAATCAGTTTGAAGGAGTGTAAATTAGTTGGAAGAGTTAAATAATGCATTTTCAATGAATGATTGAAAAAGGGGGGAAATATAAATGAATAAAAATCCTTATTAGACCCCATAATGTCCTCACTGAGCTGAATTTATTGAGCCCTGGTTGGTTTCTGTAGCTCAAGGTTTGTGCCAAGAGATAGATGACAAATTTCGTCAAATAACTCTATTGAAGGGTTTTAAATTTAACCCCCAGTACTCTGTGTACTGAGCCTGGCTTCATGTGTCTCATATGGCTGTTAGAAGCAGCTTTCCAGCCAGCTGTGTGTCTCCAGGTGCTCTTATTGGTTGCCATGGTGACGATAGATGCTTAACAACAGCAGGAGAAAGGAGGCTTGAGGCTGAGAATGTAATGCCCAAACAACGTCATATTTCTCATCCTCTGTAACTGCTATCTTCATGATAATGAGCTTGTGAGAACCACAAGACCCGGCTGAACACGTTGATACAACTTCTGTGTCTGTGGAGCCAAAAATGCCTTCACTACGACGAGTTAAAAACATGTCCAGTTTGTGTTTCCTCTGAAAATCCTCCTCTCAGGTTTATATTGGAGTCAATGGAGAAAGCTGGAGAAATCTGGGGGATGTCTGCGGCAGTTGGTGTCTGCCCAGGCCACTGTGTGTGTCCTATGGCTTTGATTTTTGACATGAAGAGTGACAGCAAGTTTTGCCATCACTGTACCAATTTTTATCTGTGTAGAGCCAAGTGAGTTGCCACAATCCTTTTGTAAAGACAAAGTTTTGAGGATCAATTTTCAGCCTGTCTCACTCTAGCTGTGAGGTCACCCACTCTAGCTGCCAACATTCCGTGCAATACACACTAATGTTAAAACCTGAACAGGTCTGAAAATCTTTGGACTTTTTGAACTGTCACTGTGAGAAAAGTATGAATGCCATGAAGATGGTGAATGAATGAGTGAATGTCTGAAGATGTGTGAATATTTTAAAGTTTGAATGAAGTTTCTAGGTGAAAGTATGAATGAATGAGAAGAGGTTGAAGTTGACTACGTCTGAAGCCCTTTTCCCATTGAATCCCATTATAACGAAGTTTTAAACAAATCTTAATATTTTGAAAAGTACAAATGGGATTAAAAATGTTGAAGATGTGGAATAATGCTGACGAAGTTGTGAATATTTTGGTTTTTGAATGAAGTTTCTACGTGGAAGTATAGAGGAGTTGAAGGCTTTTGAAGTTGTGTGAAGAAAATGTGAGAAAAGGGCCAATTTGAACATTCCGTAATGCATTTCCAATGGGAGAAATCGGTCGGAAAACCTGGAATATCTCGGAAAGTATGAATGTTAGGAAATTTTTGAATACAAGCCGGAATCTCCTGAATGAGACGAATCTTTTGAAGTTTGAATGGTTTGAATACGTTGAAGTATGTGGAAGGAGAAGCGGTCCAAAAAACGGTGGAAGAATAATAATAATAAAGATATGAATAACATATAGTGGGAATGCTTCGCAATCCCACTCAATAATAATAATAAAGATATGAATAACATATAGTGGGAATGCTCTGCAATCCCACTCAAATAGAGGAAAGAGAATAATGTGGAGTAAATGATGAGATGAAGGAATACCTTTATGAGAGTTCCAGGATAAACACAACCATGTCCTTTTTAACCCCAACACTAAATACGCACCAAGATTTCTGCTCCCACACCAAATTACAGGCAGGTTTCCAAAAACTGGCTGTATAAAACTACGGACGACATGCATCAATCTCCTTCCAGGGCAAAAAGAAGTGAAGCCAAAATAACCCTACAGCGGGGGCTAACGTATTGCACTTATGGTGTCGTCCACAACAGAGCATGTTTTTGTGATGATTCAAAGCAGACACTAATGGTCATGGAAAGGTTAATAACTCATATGATATATCATGACCCATTCATTGACCAGCCACTGGGGGGGGGCTCTAAAGGTTCCGCCTTACTTCCAATGATCAGCAATGTGGTCCATTTCTTAAACCGTAATGTCATAGAATGATAATAATTAAATAAAGTCTGACATTTTTCAAACAATTGTCTGCTATCTTTTACAATATTTGAAATACACGCTCATGTGGAGATGTGACAATTCTTTTGACATTTACTTTTTCAACATTTTTGTTATCAATGTCTTTCAGGATTAAATGTCAAATGCAAAACTGTTAGTTCCAAGAATGAAAGAGGAAATTGTACCATTTTGGGATTGATTTTTTCTTTGTATGAGAGAGGGCAAAACCACAGTTCTTCAGTATCAGTAGTCTTCTGCAACCATATGCATGATTTTAAATATAAATGGACATCTTCTAAAAGGAATCAATTGCAAAACTCTTCATGAATACAACATCAAATGTTCAGTGTG